GCCGCCGCCGCTGCTGCAGTCGGCATCCATCAGCAGGCGGGGGTGTCGCGGAACAGGCTGCTCTGCGGAGTCCGCCGCGGTCCCGCGCGCCCGCCCCACCCCGCGGCCTGCCAGGCCCGGAGGAGCCGAGGGGGCCGCCTCTCGCCCAGCCTGCCCGACGACATGGGGACTCTCAGGCCCAGGTAGGCACGTGGGGAGGGGGGCAGATGACACTGGAAGCTGGGGGCTCGGAACGTCTAGGCCCAGCCTCAGCCCTAGGGGAAGAGTGGCGGTGAGACCGGGAGGAATTGATTTGCAGGCTGTTGGCCCTTTGGCTAGTCTAGGAGAAGGCAGTATGCTGTCCTGTCCACCTCCCACGTCTGCAGCCTCCTGGAGGCTTGGAGAGAGAGGCTGAGAGGCGGTGGGCTGGTGCTTGCTGTGGGGATGAACGGTCGCCAGGCTACGATGGCTAGCCCACTCTCTTCTCAGACAATTCTGCTACCTCCCATGGAGGCGGAGGGCTTTTTGGACCTCTCTGTCCAGGCTTCAGATGCTGCAGGATGTTCTCTTGGTTGGAGGAGGCTGGGTTGCTGGGAAGTTCTTGCCCTCATCCTCACCCTCTGGTTACAGATCTTTCTCCATTCTGGTCTTCCTTCTCATCCCACCTCCCTTCCAAGTCTCCCAAAGATGGGGAAATGGACCTTGGCCCTAGGACCTCCGTGGCTCTGGCTGAATATTGTCCCGGCCAGTGGCTACCCCCGCTGATTAGAGGGAGTTGACTTGCATACCCCAGTTGTGTCTGGTACCTTCACACTTTGAGAGGTCAAATGTCCCAAGAGGCTGGGGTCTTGGGGGCAGGAGTGGGGGGAGGACAAGTGACTACATCACCAGAGTACTTGCTGGGTGCTGAGGCCACTGGCTGGGGAAGCTGTAACTCACGGTGGCCCATGAAGACTTTTAGGCGATGGACAAGGACTAGGTAGGAGTTCTGAGTTTGCTGGTCTCTCCCAGCTGCTGGCCGTGGTCTTTGCTTTTCCCTTGGAATGCTGAGGATGCATTGGTGGGGGAGAGAGCACCACCACTTGTTCCCACCTTCACTTCTGTATCCACATATCACCTCCCCTGCACCTGAGGTGGGAGTGTGAGAGGACTGGATTTAGGACCTCTCTGGGGCTATGTAGGGTCCAGCTAGCTGCTCCATCTCCCCCCCCCCCCCTTCATTAGGAATCTTCCAGAATCAGTTGCAGCTGGGTCAGGTTGAGAGTTGGGGACTGGGATGGTGCCCTCAGAGGCTCCTGGGAGACTCAGTGCTGCCTGTCCTGGGCAAGGGTATGAGAATAGAGGGCTGTGTGCCTGCTCACCCACCCATCCCTCCAGATGGAGCCTGCAGCAGAGGCAGCCTGTGCCAGCCTCTTCTCTGAGCCACCGTGGCCCAGGGAGGCTCTGCCAGCTCTGTGCAGGGATGAAGCTGGCTTCTGCTGGCCACCCAGAGGTCATGGCTATCTGACGACCCCATCCATGCACAGTATTTGTGGTGTGCAGAGCATGCCCCCTGGAGTCTCAGGGGCACCTCATGGTAGTTCTGGAGGGGGTCAGTACAAGGAGTCTTGTTCCTATTAAACCCTTTTTGGGCCATGTGGCAGTTCTCTGGGCTCTTCTCTGTGAATTTCTTGGAGGCTTGCTTGCACATAACCCCAACATGAGAACAACACTTGGACCTGTAGACCTCACTCAGCAAATATTGAAAGATTGAATGAGTACTAGAGAGGAAAAGTGACTTGTCCAAGGTCATATAGCAATTGAGTGAGAGAGCCAGCACTAATGTACCCAGGTCTTCTTTCACTTGGCCTGGGATTCTTGCAGCCCAAATGCCTGCTTCCCAGTTGCTCTACTTCCATATGTAGGACTCTGCCTAAGGCTGGGCATTATAGCCTGGAGCCTGAGGCTGCCCTTTAGGAGGGGCTTTACATTAGCCTCCCTGCCCTTGCTCCCAAAAGTTGAGAAGGAGAGGCCAGGGTTGCCTCACAGATAATGGGCCAGGGCTGAGGGAACGGGCAGCCAGTGGTCCTGGACCCTCTTGGGAGTACGCAGAGCTAAGAGGATGCTGGGTGCCCAGGGGTGTTCTGGGACTGAGCTTCCAGAGGGTAGGGGCAGGGGAGAGGGTCTCTTGACTACAACAGCCTGAGGTGGGAAGTGCATCTGTGTTAGCTACAGATGGACACTGCTGTGGGCCCCTTTCTGGGCTTCTGTGTCCCCATCTCATAAAATAATCTCTACCTGGAGTAATACCAATGATTACACAATCAGAGTGACTGCATTTATTGAGCACTTACTGTACACCAGGCACTGTGATAAATGCTTTGCGTCATCTCATAGCAACGGTTTCAGGTAGGTGCTATGACTAGCCAATTTTACAGATGAGAAATGGAAGCACAGAGAGATTAAATAATTTGCCAGAGGTTACACAGCTAGTAAAGATGGGTCTGCCTGAATCCAGAGCCCCTCTCTCTCACATGATATTATACCTGGGCAGTGTCTGGGAGTTCCAGGTTGGTGTCCAGCAGAGCCGGTCAATTCATTGGTATGCCCGGGCTGGTCCAGGTGGAGAGGTCTGTGTGTTGGGTCTGGCAAGGCAGGGTTGGCTCTGTGGCCTGAGTACTACTGTCATTCCACGGATAGGGGCAGAGAGGTACTTACTGGGAGCCCTCAGAGAGGGGCTGGCCTTCTGCTTCCTAGGGTCCCCTAGACGTGGGGAAGCTTCAGATTCCCTGCTCCCACTGGCTGTCAGGGAAGATCAGCTGACCCTGACACCCACCCCTGTCACATATGGTAGGGCCATAATGGCTAGAAACCACAGGGGTGGGAATGCAGGGGCACCACCAGCTCGAACTCTGAAGAGGAAGCCCGGTAGCCTGCGTGGACGGGTGGCGTGGGAACGTGCTGGCACGGGTGGGACTGCTTCCTTTGTGGGCTAGAGGCTTGTGGATAAGAATAGTAACAGCTAACATTTATTTAGCACTTATTACGTACCAAGAAACTGTTGTAAGGGCTGATATGTGTAACTCATACAATTGCCACACAACCCTATGAGATAGGTATTATAATCCTCCCCACTTTACAGACCAAGGGAACTGAAGATTAGAGAGGGGAAGGCAGTTGCCCAAGGTCACGCAGCCAGGCTGTGGGAGAGCTAGGATTCAAACACAGCAGTATGGGTCAGAGCCGAAGTTCCTAATAGCCATGCCAGGCAGCCTGCAGTTTCTTATCAGAGGTTATACTAAGCTTTGTTCAATTTGAAAAACATTCCCTGAGGACCTCCTGCATGCCAGGCCCAGTGTGGCCTCTGGGGAATAGAAAGGAATCAGATGCATCCCTCTCCTCAAGGGAATAGAACACAAACCTGGCACAGGGGAGGGTCTTGCGTATGCAGGGACGAATTACCCAATAAGAAAAGTACACACGGGTTTACTTGTGCTTACTTACTAATCCGTAGTGCACAATTTCAAAGATGTGGTGAAACCCATGTGAAGTTGTGCACTATGGATTAGTAAGTAAACACAAGTAAACTTGTGCATACCTTACTTACTGGTTGATCCTTCCCTGTACGCTAAGCATGGATTACTATTTTGGGGATCAGGAAAGGCTTCAAGGAGATGGGAACCTTTGAGCTGGGCCCTAATGGCCAAGCCAGACTTTGATAGTTGTGAGAATGGGGACCCCCTCCCCGAGGTGAGAGGGAAAAGAAATAGGAATGCATTTGAAGAATAGCGTTGGTCTGGTGTGTAAGGAGCAGATGGTGCAGGGGGGATGGGTGAGCTAGGAGGTGACCCAAAAAGTCAGGGTGTGTCTGGGTCTTCACTGAAGCTTTGGACGCCACCACACCTAGGTTCCGGTCCCAGCACTGCTATGTACTCACCGTATGGCCTTAGGCAAGTCATTTGGCTGGTTAAGCCTCAGTTTCCTTGTCTGTAAAATGCAGATGAACACATCTATCTTACAGTGATTGTATTGTGGTTGTCATTTCATAAAACACCAAGCAGTGCTGGCATTACAGCAACTCAGTAAACATTAGTTCTCTCCCTGCTTCCTTTTTTTAAATGTCAGGTTAAGGTGTTTCTACTTGACTTGAGCTTGGAGGCTCTGGGGAATATTTGCAGGTTTTTGGTCTGATGAGGGACACGACAGAGCTGTGTTTTGAGAAAGTGCCTCTGGCAACTGTATGAACCAGAAGGAGGGTATGGACTTCAGTCTTGCAGGGGAAACATTAACCAAGTGGACTTAGAAGGGTGAAGAGGGAGAAAGGTTGAAACTGCGCTAAGATGCCTCCTAGGCCAGGAGGGCTGGTTGGGGGAGGAGCAGCGTTGGGTGGGGAAGGCCACAGAGGTCATGAATTGTTTTGAAGCCTGGTGAGTTTGAGATGAAGGGCTCATCTCCCTTCAGTTGTTTGCAAGGTTGGGCAGCATCTTCTTTGTGCATCTGGCTACTTCTTTCTTTTGAATTTTTTCGTTTGGAAGGCTCCCCATCAGAGCTTTCTCTATAATAGCAGCAAATTGGGCCTAAGTGTCCAACAATAGGAAGATGATTGAGTACGTTTTGGAACATCCACTGAATAAAATAATATGCAGCTGTTAAGAGCCACAGAAATACTTACCCTTGCAGTGTATGGAGCTGTGCATTGGCAAAGCTCTTTTGCATCCTTTATTCATGTCATTGCATACAACTGCCTAGTGACAGAGGTGTGGCAGGGGTTACAGACTGTGCATGCAGGAATTGAGGCTAGCCTACAGTCTCCTTAAGGGCAGGGTAGTTCAGTGATTTGCAAACGCTTGTGGAGTAAGAAGAATGACTGAGTGAACAAAGCAGAGGGGGAAGTGACTTACCCAACATCAGGTTGGTAATAAGACCCAGGACCTGGGTCTCCTTCTCCATACATGCCACCTTCTTTTAACCTCACCATCCAGTGTCTATGAGCGCAGTGGGTAGAGAAGTTCTGAGTAGGGACTTGGGATTTGCACTAACCAAGGCTAGCTGTTCTTACTAGCTCAGAGGCCTTGGGAAATTGGTTAATCTTTTTTTCCTTTTTTTAAATTGTACTTTAGATGAAGATTTACAGAGCACATTAGTTTCTCATTAAACAATTAATATACATATTATTTTGTTACTTTGGTTGCCATCCCCACGACATGTCAGCACTCTCCCCTTC